ATTAATGCCGTATTCCATCGCTATTCACATTCAACTAAAATGGCCGATGAAGGTAAGTAATTGTAAACAAACAGAATTTTCTTATTTTGTTAATTTTCTTTGAAAATAAGATATTTTAATTTTACAGACATACACAAGACAACGCGAACAAGAAAGGAGCAAATTGAGTGCTACCTGGCGTTTATGCGGAGCCACCCTGAGTTAAAGCTCAATAAAAATGATCCTACACGGCCAAAAAGGATAGAGGAGCTGTGGATAGAGCCAGCAGAGCAACTTAACGCTCTTAAATGGCCGATACGCACTCCGGCTAAATGGAAAGAGGTAAATCTTAAAACATATATAAAACAAGTAAGAGCAGCGCTGTCTTCGGCTATGCCGAAGGCTTCATACCTTTCATGAACGTCTGAAAAAATTATTTTAACAGATTACTGCATTTGAAAAAAATGTATATATTTACGGCAGACATACCTAGATAGAGGAGATACATATATAAAAAATTATATCTAAACAGTCAAAGGTATGAAAGATATACCTTATATAGCACCAATCTAAGTGATTTTCACTGCTGTGTGATCAGTATGTAAACCGGTAACACAATTTAATGGGTTTAGCTTCCAACATAAAGGAGATATATCGAAAAACTGGTATCTGAACAATCTGTGGTATGGAGGCAATAAATAGGTTATAGCGACCGGATCTTTGTTAATTTTACTGTAAACTTTCTATTGATAATGAGTGAAAATAGTGCGAAATTAATGTTTCTAGCTGCATAAATGGATAATTTATAACAAAAAATCTCATATCTGAACAATCAGTTGTATGGAGGCTATAGGTAATAGCGACCAAATCTTCATAATTTTCACTGTATTCTTTTGATAATGGGTGGAAATAGTGCGAAATTTCATATTCCCAGCTGCATAAATGGAGGAGTTATAACGAAAATTCTCATATCTGAACAATCAGTTGTATGGGAGATATATGTTATAGTCACCCGATCTTTGTAATTTGGACTGTAAGTATTCTGTTAGTAATGAGTAGAACGGTGCGAAATTTCATGTTCCTAGCTGCATAAATGGAGGAGCTATGACAAAAAATCTCATATCTGAATAATCAGTTGTATGGAGGCTATAGGTTATAGCAACCCGATCTTCGCCATTTTCACTGAAAGTATTCTTTTGATAATGAGGGACAACCGTGCAAAATTTCATGTTACTAGCTACTTAAATGGGGGAGATATAACGATAAATCTCATATCTGAACAATCAGTAGTATGGGAGCTATAGGTTACAGTGCCCCGATCGTTGTAATTTTCACTCATAAGTTTTCTGTTGATAATGGGTGGAAGTATTGCAAAATTTCATGTTCTTAGCTGCATAAATGGAGGAGTTATAACGAAAAGTCTCATATCTAAACAATCAGTTGTATGGGAGCTATATGCTATAGTGGTCCGATTCTTCCGGTTCCGACAAATGATTAATACAATATAAAAATACACCCACTTACCAAATTTCATCAGGATATCTCGAAAACTAAGATACTAGATTGCATACAAACAGACGGACGGACAGACAGACAGACAGACAGACATGGCTCAATCGACTCAGCTCGACGTTCTGATCATATAAGTATACATTTTAATTTTTATTCTGGTACTTACACACATCGGACCAAAGTTATAATACCATTTCATGCTCATGAAAGGTATACAAATTGTGCGTTATAAGAGTTGCACATTATTTTTATTTCAGTCTTTAGCCCATTGGAAAAACCAAGTCCGATCCAGGGCTAGGAAGGCAAAGGCCCATCGCTTGGTGACGGGCGGAGGTCCCTGCTTGCAAGAGGAACTTACGGAGAGGGAGCAACAGGCATTGGACACGCTCGGGTCGGACGTGGTGGACGGGATGGCTGATATTCCAAACGTTGGTGCCGAGGTAATACACACATACTGTCAGGATTAAACTTCTTTCTTCATTATCAAGTAACATACGCACCGTACATATGGATGAATGCATTTATATGCAAAACAACTATTTTTGATTTTTCAGACTGAAATACTAATTTCTTACGACCCCGGTAGTCCTATTATCCAAACAACGGACGCATTAACTGATACTCCGACAACTTCCCGTCACCGCAAAGGAACCTCTGGTGAGATGTTCGGAGAGATGATGGCATCTATAAGGGAGAGGAATGACGAAGAAAGAAAATACAGAGAAGAATCTCTAAAATGCGTGGCAAAATTTTCTAATTCCATGAACAATATGGCCAGTGCAATATTGACCTTGTCCCAAGCCATAGTCAATAAAGACTATTAAAGTTTCCTGCCTACATACATACGGTGACGGAAAAAAAGTTTCACAAAACTAATTTTTGGCAATACTCGCAATGTTTTTCATGCTAAATTTTTTGTGATTATGTTTTCTAATAACATAGTTTCTACGATAAAAAAGCATTCTGATTAACAAGTTTGAAGTTAAGATGAAAATTTTCCGATTTTTTTAAGTTTATACGAAGTTCTAAGCTTTGATTTAAACAGTTTTTGTTATCGTAGAAACTATGTTCTTAGTAAAAATACTCACAAAAAATGTAGCATGAAAAACATTGTGAGTATTGCCAAAAATTAGTTTTGTGATTTTTTTTTTCCGTCACCGTATGAATGTATATTTTTACTCAATTAAAAACTTAAAAAGCTACCTGTTCACACACATACATTGAATTAAAGACTGAAAAAGCGACCTCATTACATACATACATATGTATGTACTTATTGAATTAAATAGTCGTCGTGTTTTTTAGTTATGGGGCATACTTATGTATGATTTTATTGAATTAAAGACTACATACATATGCATGCACCCTTTTATTGAACTAAAAGCTGAAAGCTATTTGTTAACATAGATATGTAAGTTTTTTATTGAACTAAATTTCTGTAAGCTATGGACAATAAGCTGTTTTAAAAACACATTTGATTTCAGTAAATATCTTTCCGATTCGAGTATTCAGTTACATATACCGGTTTCAATTAAAGTACAACGAATCCAAAATTTTATATGGTTAAAGCATTTAGGCAACTTTGACGTGCCCTTCTGCCTTCGGAGTAATACTCTGTCAATTCTTTTGGCTCATTCGCACCTGCATTATCTGGAGTGGAGTCTTCCTGCAACATGGTTTCCTCTGTTATATAAATACCTCATTTTTGCAATATATTGTGGAAAATCGCGCATGTATATACAATAAATGCGGCATTTGTATGGCTATATCTGAGCACACGCTCTTTTGATAGACACCTGAAGCGAGATTTGAGGATCCCAAATGCGCGCTCTATACCGTTTCTAGCCTTTATGTGAACTTTGTTGAAAAGGAGTTCATTGGCTGATGCAGGGCTTGCTATTGGCGTAAGAAGCCAAGGCTCCAAGGGATAACCAGAGTCGCCCAAAAGCCATTTAAATGCTCCTGAAACGTGCTCTGTGATGAGCTTAATCCTTACCGGTGATGTTGTCCAAATACTAGCGTCTGTAGTACTCATGGGGAACTACTCCAGGGGTTGAAGATGGTGGGGCAATTATGGCCACATGTGTGCAGTCAATAGTACCTATTACTCCTTTAACTCCGAATTTGTTATGAAAACTGAAAATATTTTTATAAATAAATGTATTTTTCCATATGTCTATACAACTAACCCCCTCTTAATGCTGTTGTTGTGGTTAGCAGCATTGGGAAAACTTATTTCAAAATTTTTGTGTTCTACAACAAGCCTGCATATGTGTTTTGTGTTTCTAGAGACGCTGGGCTGACTCATGGCTGAGAAATGGCTATTTCCAATGCAGCTTTGGTATGTGCCATTCGAGAGAAAATATAGTACTGAAATACACTAAAATGAAAACAGTATTTAGTAAAGTACATATATTTTTTCGACCAGTAAGCTCAAACGGAATTCTAGATTTCCGAGTGTATTTGTCGTGCGGTTTTAATTCCTGAAGAAGGTCCCAGCAACACGCCTCTTGCGGGAGGCGTAACTCTTTATACTCAACCCAATTGAAAGAGCACAGTTCAAAATTTGTAAAAATATATACCTAGCCCCTCGAACCCTTCCAAACGCCCAGGGAAACCATTTGAAAATAGGGTAAAATTAGAATTTTTGCACAGAAAACGAAAACTCGTGCTACGCCATCCACGTTAACCGCGCTTAGAAAAATTCAACACAGTATTTCAGCGCTGAACTCACTCCAAAATTCACAAAAAAGTCATATTTCAAACCGAATTTATTAATGAATTAGTGTTCAATAAGATTAGGTAAATAAAGTCTGGAGCCTTGACTACAAGTCTGTGTAAAAATTTTTTGGATCGGGTCACCCGTTTGGACACACACAAATTGTTGTTAAAAAGCATTACCTGGCTTCATTTTAATTAAAAAGCAAGCAAATATTTCTTCTTCCATATTTTTCGTTTTGTGACCTACTTACGACCAGCTGACAAATTAGTGACTTTGTTTTGAGACTAGTGACGTGAGACAGCTGAATACCAAATAGTCTCAAAATCGATTTTCACCACCTGTTTAATTACAAGATCAACCTTCAATATTATTGGTACGAATCGATCAACAAGTCACATCACTGATAAACCTCAACGTTTGATTGCTTCCTATTGTACTCATCTTCATGCGTACATACACCACATACATATGTACGTACATAACTACATCTATTGTCTATGCTGCCGTTAAATCAGGTCATTTTACTGCACAAACCCAAATTGTTATTTTGTGATGTACACACATGCGTACATATAATAATTGCAATAAGCGAGAAACTAATTTAAGGAGAAGCAATGTAATGCAAATTTTTTATTCCAAATACGAACCTGAAGTAAACGACACATAGGCGCTAATACTTAAACTTGTTTGTTTCATTTTGTACTGGCTTTTTCTTGGGCATTTCGTTGTCTTTTTTATTTATTGTAATTGCCACTGGTCGGTAAAAAGGCTTGCCGTCCACAAAACATTTGGTGACCCCGACGTGATTGTGAAATCACGGATTTTTGCTTATTAACCAACAAAACAGTTTTCATTTTCATCGCAGCCCCATGGCTCCGTCCAAAAGAACAGAAGAAGTCGAATCCAGGAAAAGGAAGCGGGATTCCCTCATACAGCAGATAACAACGATTAACAATGCCCTTAACCTTGAAGCACTCCGGGAGCTCGACGAAGCGGCAGTCGAAGTCCGAATAGAGCAGGTGGATCGGCTAGAGAAGAGATTTGATGGTATTCAAACGCAGTTGGAGGATGAGGAGGAACCTGAGGACGTAGTGGCGCTATTTTCCAGCCATTACATCGAAGCGAAGACGAAGTTGACGCGCCAATTGTATCATTGCCGTGGTGCGGAATCTAATCGCTCGATCGTGCGGCCAGCTTCGGATGAGCAGCCATCGATTATCGTCGCACCGCCCAAACAAAGGCTACCAGTTCTGCATATTCCAAAGTTCAGCGGTAATTATACAGAGTGGCCTGATTTCTTTTCAATGTTCAATACTGTGGTGCATCAAGACGTGGATCTGACGAGAATCGAAAAATTCCAGCATCTTCGCTCCAGCTTGCGTGACGCTGCGTTGGATACAATACGTTCGTTAGAAATTTCAGATCAAAACTATGACAAGGCTATTGACTTATTGAAATCTCGCTTTGATAACAAACGTTTAAATTTTCAGGCTCATATAAGAGATATCGTCCAACTTAAAAGGGTAGAAGGTGATTCAGTGGCGAAGCTTCGCGAACTAAGCGACAACGTAAACGCCCATTTGCGCGCGCTACAAACAATGGGTACGAAAGAGCAGATTGCGGATTGTATGCTAATTCAGCTGGTGTCGCAAAAGTTGGACGTTGCATCTCGCACGAAATGGGAAGAAGAAGCGCCTGTAAATGAAATCCCAACTTGGAGTTTGATGTCGAAATTTTTAGAAAATCGTTGCCAACGTCTGGAAAATGTCGAAAATGCCATTAAACCAAGGTTACCAGTCAAACAGGTAGGAAATAAATCATTCTTAAACAACAACCGCAAGGTGTCGCTAGCCACGTCGTCAAACGGTTGCTTATTGTGCAACTCCAGTCAACATGCAGTCGCTCAATGCGAAACCTTTACTAGCCTTTCACCTTCTATGCGATATAAGGAGGCGAAGAAACTACAACTTTGTCTAAATTGTCTAAAGGCTGGTCATTCTCTAAGGAACTGCAGGTCCGGTTGCTGCAAACATTGCTCATTGAAACATCACACCTTGCTTCATCAAGGCACCCTTCCATCTGGGTCAGCCATTCAAACACCAACTTCTACTTCGGCCTCAGCTATAGTGACAGACGCGCCAACTTCATTGCTTGCCGCGGGTAGCCTGTCCACTTCGCTTTCGGCATCAGCGTCGCCGTTTGCTTTCCCTGCAGCAACACTTGTTAGTTCTGGTTCCCAAACCATTGATTTCGTTCTCTTGGCTACCGCAGTCATTTATATAAAAAATCGCGCTGGATCGCTCATTCCTTGTAGGGCTTTGCTTGACTCTGCATCGCAGCTTAACTTTATCACTAATCGGTTAGTTAACCAACTTCAACTTAGAAAATTCAAATCGTCATTGTCCATTTCTGGCATAGGCCAAAATGGTTTTGTCGCAGATCATATCGTTGATCTGGAACTACACTCGCGCATCAGTGATTATTCTGCCAAGCTGTCGGCAGTTGTTACATACACCATTACCGACGTCCAACCGAGCCGTTCGTTGAAAGGGATTGACTGGAGCATACCTTCAAACATTCGCCTAGCAGATCCACTATTTTTTTGAACCCCAGCGCATCGATATCCTCATTGGCGCCGGTTTGTTTTTCGACTTACTCTGCGTTGGCCAAATACGCTTGGCCGGAAATTTGCCAGTTCTACAAAAGACTAAGGTGGGTTGGGTGGTGTCTGGTGGAAGCACAGCAAACGTGTCAAGGCTTTCTTGTTTAGCAACAACTGAGGTATCAGGCGAGACTGGCTTAGAGATGGATTTGGACAATTTGATCAAACGTTTTTGGGAAATAGAGGAGTGTAGCAACTCAGCGCCAAAAACTACTACAGAGGAAGATATATGTGAAGAGCATTTTATAAAAAATTGTCAACGTCTAGAATCTGGAGCCTATTCGGTACGGTTACCTAAAAGGGTAGCTGCCGACGAACTTGGAGATTCATATCAACAGGCTATTAGTCGATTTAAAGCCTTAGAGCGCAAGTTGCAGCGTAATCTTGAACTTAAAAAACAATATTCATCTTTCATTACAGAATTTCTTAATTTAAAGCATATGTCAGAGGTGGATATTATACCCGATCAGGTACCGGTACATTTTTTGCCACATCACTGCGTCTTTAAGGCCGATAGCACAACAACCAAACTGCGGGTGGTGTTTGATGGTTCTGCGCCAACTACCAACGGACGTTCTCTAAATTCAATATTAATGGCAGGGCCCACCATTCAACCTTCTCTTTTTGACACTCTTTTGCAATTTCGTGCATTCAAGATTGCTCTTACCGCAGATATATGCAAAATGTATCGCTGTGTAAGAATGTCGTATCCAGATAATTATTTACAGTGTATAATATGGAGGGACACTCCTAATGAACCATTTCGTATATTTAAACTAGATACTGTCACTTATGGTACGAAGCCTGCCTCTTTTCTAGCCATTCGTGCCATGCAGCAACTCGCAGTAGATGAAGGTCATGCATATCCAATTGGAGCTGAAACTATTTGCAAAGGTTTTTATGTAGACGACTTGATTTTTGGCGCAAACTCTGTGGACGAAGCTCGCGTTATTTTAAACCAAACAAGGACACTGCTTTCTTTGGGAAAATTTGAATTGAGAAAATGGTGCTCAAACGACGATCGGGTTTTGGTGGATGTCGCCGATCACGACAAGCAAGACTTCCTGAGATTTCATGATGGCACTAATGTCACAAAAACACTTGGTTTGGTTTGGGAGCCTAACTCAGATACCTTTATATTTTCGTTTTTGCCGTTTTCAACTCCATCTAAGGTAACTAAGCGTACGATCCTATCAACCATTGCTAGGTTATACGACCCCCTGGGTTTAATCGGGCCTGTGGTGGCCAAGGCAAAAATTTTCTTACAGCACCTTTGGAAGGAAAAATTGCACTGGGACGAGAGCCCTTCACAGTCTATTCAAACAGCTTGGCTGGACATTTGCAGCGAATATGAACTAGTCGCTCGATTTAGTTTTGCCAGATATCTGCTAATGCCTGACGCCGATGTACAGATACATGCCTTTTGTGATGCAAGTTTGGCCGCATATGGTGCATGCTTATACATACGTGCAGAGAAAGCCGGAGTCGTCCGCACAAATATTCTTTGTTCTAAATCGCGAGTAACGCCACTCAAGACGCTTACAGTGCCAAAGCTGGAGCTTTGCGCCGCATTGTTGTTAGCCGAACTAGTAACCAAAGTAACAAAATTAAGTATTTTCAAGGGTCAAGTATTTTGCTGGTCAGATTCGACCATTGTTTTATCATGGCTGCGTAATGAGCCAGCTAATTTTAATATGTTTGTTGCTAATCGGATTAATATCATTCAGGCACTAACGAAGGACATGACATGGCGCTATATTCCGTCAGAATTGAACCCAGCTGACATACTTTCAAAGGGAGCTAGTCCAAAGGAATTATTAAATATGCGGATTTGGAAATATGGGCCATCATTTCTTCGCAATGAACAAAGCAAATGGCCAGCATCGCCCATCCTACCAAACGACTTACCAGAATGGCGAAAAAGAGCACTTGTATTTGTAACTACGGTGGATCTTTCGGTAAACTGCAAATTTCTCAATTCATTTGACAAGCTACGTAGAGTGTATGCCTACGTCCATCGTTTTGTACAACCAGTTAGTATGAAGTGCACAGGACCGTTGAACACAATGGAACTACAACAAGGCGTTTTTCTTCTAATTCGTATGATTCAAAAATCCCACTTGAGCGATGAATATAGATCACTCGAAGCGAAAGGAGAAATAAAACTTTCATCGAACATTCGATCACTGAATCCTTTTATCGATGGCAATGGATTACTTCGAGTTGGCGGCAGGCTACAACATTCATCTTTGGACTTCGCATCCAGGCACCCAATAATTTTGCCCAAACAACACCCTGTAACTGACTCCATCATAAATAGCTTTCATCAACAACTGCTTCATGCCGGTCCGCAATCCCTGCTAGCCTCTATTCGACTTCAGTACTGGCCCATTGGCGGTAGAAAAACAGTTTCTCGCGCCATTAGTAAATGTGTACGCTGCTTTCGTGCTAAGCCCAAATTGGTGGACCATTTAATGGGAAGCTTGCCTTCGGAACGAGTAAGAATCAATCGAGCATTTGTAACTACTGGCGTAGACTTTTGTGGGCCATTTTTCTACAAATCAGAAGTTAGAAACCGGCCTCCGATCAAATGCTACATTTGCTTATTTATTTGTTTTCCAACCAAGGCCGTTCATTTAGAGCTGGTTAAGGATCTTTCAACTGCTTCATTCTTAGCGGCACTAAAACGATTTGTTTGCACGCGCGGTAAACCTCAAACTATATGGTCAGACAATGCCACTAATTTTATTGGAGCCAAGCGAGAATTACGAGAGTTAAAGGAACTGTTTCTCAACCAAGAGCACTTGAAGGCCGTTCATGAGCAGTGTTCAAATGACGGCATTGAATGGAGGCTAATACCTCCTCGCTCTCCCCATTTTGGCGGTCTCTGGGAAGCTTCGATCAAAATAACTAAATATCATTTTTATCGTGTTGCAGGTTTATCAACTTTAAATTTTGAGGAACTTCGGACGCTCGTTTGTCAAATAGCTGCAATTGTAAATTCGCGGCCCTTGTGTCCCATCTCAGAGAATGCTGACGACTTGGAGGTGCTTACGCCAGCACACTTTCTAATTGGCGCACCTTTACATCGATTGTGGAGCCCGACATTTCTGAGCTTAATATAAGTCAACTCAACAGATGGCAACGCGTGTTTTGTATGCAACAGCAGTTCTGGAAGAAGTGGCACTCAGAGTATTTAACTCTTCTTCAACAGCGGCAGAAGTGGCATTCGTCTTCAGCAAACTTAAAGTCTGGTGATTTGGTCTTAATTAAGGAAGAGAACAACCCTCCTCTCAAGTGGCCACTAGCTAGAGTTATCGATACTGTTCGTGGAAAGGATGATATAGTTCGTGTTGCCGTACTTAGAACTGCAAATGGCGTATACAAGCGAGCTGTGGCAAAGCTCTGCCTTCTACCAATCGATGACAACGTATTGAAAGCCCAAACCTTTCAACGGGCGGAGGATGTTTACGAATCGATCAACAAGTCACATCACTGATAAACCTCAACGTTTGTTTGCTTCCTATTGTACTCATCTTCATGCGTACATACACCACATACATATGTACGTACATAACTACATCTATTGTCTATGCTGCCGTTAAATCAGGTCATTTTACTGCACAAACCCAAATTGTTATTTTGTGATGTACACACATGCGTACATATAATAATTGCAATAAGCGAGAAACTAATTTAAGGAGAAGCAATGTAATGCAAATTTTTTATTCCAAATACGAACCTGAAGTAAACGAGACATAGGCGCTAATACTTAAACTTGTTTGTTTCATTTTGTACTGGCTTTTTCTTGGGCATTTCGTTGTCTTTTTTATTTATTGCCACTGGTCGGTAAAAAGGCTTGCCGTCCACAAAACACCACCAAATGTCTTAATTTGTGACTAGAGACTGCCTACTGAATCCCACTATTAGTACTTCTAAACGACGGATCCGCTACACATTATACAACTCATCACAGTTTCACGCACGTCGATTTAACAATAGCTTCACCCCTAATTTCCCTGCAGAGCAAATGGGACATTGAACCCAGTCTACACAATAGCGACCATTTCCCCATAACCATTTCCCTTTTCCCAAATCAACCCGAAATCCCTTCTCAACTAAGAACACGATTTAACTTAAACAAAGCCAGTAGTATAGTTATGCCGGCATAAGGTTTGCTGTTGCTCCGGTGCAGAACCGCTATATGGTTTGCTGCTGCTCCGCCGCAAGCTTTGCTGCTTCGCCAAAAGATGTCGCCGATCGTAATCCAAGTTCAGAACCCAGATAAAGGCCGCAAGATGTCGCTAGTGACAAATCTGAGGCCGGAACCGGAACAGATCACAGGGTGTTCCGCTGATGGAAATCCAAGAAATCCGATACAAGGTGGTTTATATGTCGAAAATTGGTAACTTGTATTGGTATGCATATATACATACGTATTCTCATACATACATCTATATGCAAACATACATACATACATATGTATATACATNAGTGACAAATCTGAGGCCGGAACCGGAACAGATCACAGGGTGTTCCGCTGATGGAAATCCAAGAAATCCGATACAAGGT